TGTGTGGAGTGTTCACAAAAATTGGGGGGGGGGGGGGAAATCAATAGCACTAATGTCCTACAAGCGCTAGAGACAAGGAGGATGTGCTTAGCACATCTGCCATGCTTTTCTCATTTTCAATCTGAGCCTTTAACATTCATTTTGTATATTAAATTAGGCTTGTAGGAATCCATCTGAGCAATCACTGAGAGAGAGAGATCATAGAAACCTGCCCAACATGCAAACGTCACGCTGCCAGACTTGGCTCCGCTTTTTCCGCCAGTTGCAGTACAAGCTCTGCATTCCTGTGGGCAAGCACCTGTCCTTCCCGCAAATTAGGGCTTCACAAGCTTCACAGTCATATCACAACTTTTAATGCTGACTTTCAAAAGTCAGGTTGCACTCACTCCAGAACAGCACTACTCAAAGCCCACTGCTGTCCCGTAAGAGGGTACCTCAAAAACTTCTGGTGTCCTTGACTACATGTTAGCAGCCCTTCTGCTGCCCCAGGGCTGCAAGACCTAAATGCCCTTATGGATCCCTGACCACAGTTTGGCGTCATCACCTTTGCAGAGGCACTGCTGATAGTGTAGCACACAAACTCTACTACTGCCAGGGACTGCCTGTAGGGTAAGGGAGGTTTTCTTCCACTTGTACAAGTTCCTATAACGTTGGATAGTACCATTACTATCCATGGAAGAAGGCATTAAACACTTTTATTTCAGTGCTTCCAATCCCTGTCTTTTTTCCCCCCCTCTGGGAGGCATTAGCCTCACCAGCAAGAATATATTGCTGGATGCCACTAGATGGGATCCAGAGAACCATTCTCCTCACTGAAATAGGATGCAATTTTGAAAAAAGAAAAACAAAAAAGAAAAAAAAAAGTGTATGAGTAAGGTGCTAGCATCCTCCTTTATTTACCTAGAATACAGCATGTATCTTCATCTTTCAGTCATCAAGAAGAATATAGTATTTGCACACGAAGTCTCAAAGGTTTGAGTGATTCATCCATATCAAAGAAGAGACCTCTACATGGTTATATCTAAGACTCACACAGAATTTCTAGGACTTTTGGGAAACCTGAGTTAGAATCCTTGACTACTGCTGACAGCTGCCAATTTCAGAACTTAATACACTGCTTCAACTTCCAACTCTTCATACAGATTCCGGATCTCAAAGTCTACTTTTCTTTTCTCATTCTTGGTCTCCGATTCAGCAATGCACCTTCCAGTGCTTACAACCAAAGCTTTACTTTTTGAATCCTGGTATCCAGCTCCTCAGTAAGAACAATGCCGTTGTCTCTTGTCTTTGCTATTGTCCTGAGCATTTTTATTATAGTTATAAGGTTAATTCTTCTAAAATTAATGCACAGTCTCCAAGAAACTATGCACATCAACAAGTGTATAAAGAAAAGCTAGGTCCCTGGGACCACTGTCACTGCCTAATTCTCTTGCTATTCCATTGTTTACTAATTTATGCTTCTGTAAATACCAAATTTGATACTACAGCAAACCTTACACGATTCACACTTTTTGGGTGAAAAGATACATACACCTTCCCATTGTGACGCTAATGGGTATAACTTTACCTCTGCCAACTGGAAGAGTGCTGACTTCCCACAGTGCTTTACTGGCTCAGGTCTTGACAACTGGGAAGTATTTGATGAGATCAAGGTTTTAAATCAACAGAGGAGAAAATATTACAGTGGCACACAGGAAAGACAGAAAGGAAGGGAGAAAAAGAATGAAAAAATTAAGGAGTTAGTTAAATCAGTTACTTTTAGATCTTTCTGGCAGAAGGCCCTAATTCAGATGTTTCTTGGATGGGATTGCCTAACAGGCATATAGAAGCCAACGGGATACAAGCAAATACAGAATTCCTTCCTTAGATTAGGCTGATGGATTCTCTTCTACATTTATATTGTCCACAGCTAAAACTCTACCATGCCATGTGTTTTACGTGACTAAGTGAACAAGACATACCTGTTGCTTAAAAACATGAACTGTGGTGGTCAAGGTTAAATAAAATTCTCCTGGAAAGCCTGGGCAGTATTTCCCATTTAGTTAGATATAGAAGAGGACCATTTGTCCTCACAGGCACTGCTTGTTTCACTTTCTTTAGCTAGAAAAAAGAAATAAGACCTTATATCTGGAGATCAAATCTAGCCTTCTAAATAGATGTTGGTGTGCCAGCACCAGCATTGAGTAAGTAACTAGCACTACACTTCAGGGAATTGCTTTTATAGTGATTTTTTTTCTAACTTGTTTCCAAATGCAGCATTATGAGTTCACCAACAAGAATTAATCATTATTTCTCATATTTGATCTTTTTTGGCATGGCATTACATGGCAGTACTTGACCCAGAAGCTTTGAAAAGCCCTAAGATGAGGGGCAAGCCCACTAGTGTTTCCACGGCATCTGCCTCATCACAAAAATCACACTTATGACCATGATCTTTCAGATGCAAAAATTATCCTTATCCTTTCTCTTTGTATTTAATGTCTTTCTTTTGAATTAGGTTATTTGAAGAGTTTACTTTTCAGTTGTCAAGGAGATTCATTATACACACACCTCTCCCCTGCCAAACTCCAAGTCATCCATTTTATGGTGAATACTACTTGAATGTGCATTAATAATATTTTTAATATTAAAACTAAAATAATTCAGAATCCTAGTTTTGCTTTGAGACAGTTCAGTGAACCCACTCAGGACCTCACTGGAGTAAGTGATCTCGTACACTGTACTTTGCAAGAAGAAGGTCTCAACTTTTTATCTTTCTACCGTAATAAATTCTCAGCTCTTAATGATTTTTTTCAGTGCAATATGAATGGCAGAAAAAGGACAGAAAAACACGTACACACTGACATATAACCTGAGAACATGCATGCATATCTTGCCTCTCGATGCACCATGTGAGGAAAGAGTAAAGCACTTTGTTTTGACAAGAGAATGGGTGCTCCTAAGAAAATGCAAGCCAGAGGTTTAACTTGGAGATCATTAGGATCAAGTTATTATCTTTCATTACAATGCAGGTCAGCATTTTAGCTACTATATTACATTCTAGTTTGCATAAGAAGCACGTGCCATGGTACCACTTTTTCACTTTCCTCCTAGAATAGGCATTTCATTTCAACACAGATATTTAACAATTTCAATATATAGGCAAACAGCAAATACATTAGTCTATTTTACATAACAGCTTTATCTGGGAAGATTACAGCTTTACCTAGGGGAAGGCTGGAAGAGAAGATACTGACTAGCTCTCACACTCCCAATTTCAAGGCATTTTGTCCAAAAGTTTTGGGTTCAAACCTTCTGTTCAGTACAGAAATAAACAGAAAGGGTTGCCTGCAAGCTCGCTCAAAGTGAGAATGTGAGGATGCAGCAGGGACAAAATCATCCTCAGGCATGCATCTTTCTTACAGGATAGTAACCTTCTGGACTAGCAAAGAAAATTCCACCTTGTTACATGCTGCATGTGATGGCTTTTTTGATTAAATCACCTAGAGAAAAACTTCAGAAAAGCAGCTGAAAGTGAAGACTTTGGGAGTTTTGGCTTCATTTTGTTTTTAAGATGGTTAAACTACCAATTTTACTGCTTCCACTTTCCAGAAGCTTTTTCTTTCGTTTAATAACGGGTGAGAGTTTAGCTAAGTAAATCTAAGAGGTACTCTTGTTTCTTCTCAACAAAGCAGTCATCACCATCTGTTCGCGTTTGCCAAACAGACATCCAGTAAAACCAAGAGAGCAAGGGGTCCCATCTGCTCTGCTTCCCTCACATGGCAAGGAGAATGACAGCAACCAGCCCATGTGAGCAGACAGCTTGCAAACAGCCACCATGCTAAGGAACACAGCCCACTGCTCAGAAATCACTGGCCTATATAATGGCTTTCCATAAAGGTACAAATGAGAAGGACAGAAGTAGGCCCAAGTATTTGCAAGATGAGAGCAGAACAACAAAGCCAGGAGTGTAACTTGGCAACACTCCAAATTTCAAAAAACTCTTATGAGGATATCACATCATCTTCAAAGCCCTCCAAGGTGCTTGCCTGTGCACCAGCAGGACCCAACGAAGTCTTACTACTGGGATTTTCATCATCTGTTGTCACGAGTCACTGGGCAGGCCTCATTAGCCATATCTTCAATAGCTTTAATTGACAACTATAGGACTTGGGACAGACAACCAGATGAAAGGCTAACTGAGGCTGTAAAGATGTAAAGAATCCCATGCTACATCTACATATAACAAGCTGTTTCTGAGTGACAGAGAACTTGTACTCTTGGGGTAAAGGTATCCATTTTAAATGACAAATCTACTCAATGGTATTGCTGTCTTCACAAAGAGGTACTCTTACTCAACCTGCCGCAAAGGCGGCAAAGAGAAAGGGAACATATGAAGAACATCCAGCCAGAACCAAAACTGAGCTGGGACAGCTGCCAAAAGTCTCCAGGCACATCAGACCACAGCACACTTCACATTTCTTCACAGGTCTACTTGGCTACTGGCTAAATAGCTACTTTCTGTCCCTCTCTTTTTTCTTTGGTAGCACTGTACGTTGCTGACAGCAGCCTACTGCAAATTGCTTGCCATAATTTAGCTTACTAAATGCAGTAATGCATTCATATAGACAGGACCCAGTAAGAAGTGGCACAGTAAGGCGCGGGATTTTTGCCAAACTTGACAAAGACACCCTGTGCAAATGAAAGCCCTTATATTCGAAAAAACACAAGCAGCTTTAATAGCGGGGGGAGAAAGCTTAAAGAGGTTCTGTAGCATGCTCAATACTTTCGCCTGGAACAACCTAAATGAAATCAGGCTGCAATCTTAAAAAGAATGCCATTTCTCTATTGCTATAAATAAAACATGATGTTAGTCACTGCCATTAAGGTGTCACAGCAACAGTGTAACACTGGAGGAATAACCATGGCCAAAAAGGTGAGGGTTTTGGTTTTTTTGTTTGTTTGTTTGGCTGGATTTTTTGTTTGTTTTTTTGCTTTTCCAGATTTCTGTCCCTGATCTCCAGACACTGAAAAAATAACCAAAAAAAACCAACTCCCTCCAGACTGCATACACATTTTAATATTTTTAGAAGAAAAAGAGTTTAACCTTGACTTTAAAACTGCCCTCACCAGTTTCTAATTAACTTTCTAAGCATCCCTTCTACCTAACATTTGATGATTCATACATGCACTCCAATGTGCCAAACGAGCTGGCTCAGCATAGCAGTATGCAACTTAATGCACTGTCACATCCGTATGACAATTTTCATGTTTGTCATTTTGTTGTTTGCTCAATTAGGAGAAGAAATGATTGTAGGTGATCTGAAATTTTGAAAGTACAGCTAAGTCAGATTTTACATGACAATTTGAAAATGCTGCACTAAATGCAATTCATATCCTGTTCAAATCTGCAGATATCTAAAATTGCTATTTAATTAAAATGTAAGATCCCTAAGATTTTTGGAACTAAGTACCAGATTCACTCGTGCAATGTTTTGCAATAAAATTCACCAGAAATGCTCTCCAGCTTATATCTTTTAGTTGGTTTAAAAGGTTGGCTTCAGCACATGGTTTCATCCTGCTCCATTCCACTAATTTTCTCAAAAGAGCTTTCTAAATGAACTTGTAACTTTAAAAAAAGGTGGTACATATGAAAACATCTTCACGATTAGAAATATTAACCCTATTGTATCTTTTATAGGGGTGTTCGTAGTCAGGTATTTTATGGCACCTGAATCAGTAAATTGTTTTTTCTTAATTGGGCCTCCTAAGAAATACATCAAGGCCCATCCTAGCCAAGCTAAAAGCACACAGGACACAATTAGCTTAACATTTATCAGAAAGAAGCGTGTTATATGTAGTCAAACCTCTGTAAGCACATGGAATAACAAACAGGGTATCTTTTCATCCCATTTTGTTTCTCCACAACAGCACCAGCTCCAATCCCAGTCTTTTCAGACATACCTTGAATACATACCTTTAGCATAGCTGATTCTGCAAGTAGTACCATACTCCCCCAAATGGGGAAGAAGAGTATATGTGTGGAAAGTCCATTTATAGAGGCACATTAAACACATGGGAGAAGAAATTCTTAAAAGCAATCTTTAAGAACTCCAGACCTTCAATACATGGAGGAGGGAGGCCAGCTCACACACTTATGGGTAATTTACAGGCTTTATAAGTCACCACCTAACGATGCTGTTACATATCCTTGTAGCTGTTGTGACAAGCTTCCTGAGATCTGCAAGGTTATTTTTCAAAGGATTCCTGCCTCTAGGGCAGTTGCCATTTTGCACTGATGCAGCCTCTTCCATAGGCAGTGCATAGTGTCATTTCAGAATGTCTTTTATTTGTTGTTTTCCTAGATGTAAATTAAAAGGCCATTTGAAAAATATGCCTGCAGTGCTCCTGTGGTACGGAAGGCCAGGTAATGTTCACAAGCCTAGTAATTTTGTATATGCTACAAGTGGTAGAACTGGCCAACATCTCATCCAATTACTGGTTATTCTCCCCATGATTTTCTTAACACAATGCTGTCATGAAGATAAACATCAGTTGGATGGGAATCCCTTATCAGACAGGGTGCTTAGCCATTCAGTGACAACTCTTACTGGTTCCTTGCTTCTTCCCATCCTCCCCCACCATTTTTCAGCCATTATACCTCAGCAAACTGAAATAACGCAGACTCCTCAGTTTGTTTTACAGCTCCCAGGACTGCAGGCTGTGATGTACCTGAAGAAATCTGTCAAGAAAACAATTAAGTTTGTGTTATCTAACTTCAGTTTCAATATCAAACTTCAACATGCCAAATTTCTGATCCATCATACAGAAAGATGCCTGGTACCTAAGAGTATGCAAACAAGTTCCAGCACACCCGTACAAAGAACAGTATCTGCTTTCCAGGAGACACGCGAGTGATTTGTGAAATGGCGATCTTTAATTATTTTTCATAAAGAAAATCTTTCCTAGGATCAACAGAACAGGCTAAGATTTTTTTGATGGGCTTTTATTTGCCCACTGATACGTTAAAATAGGGTTAGCAACAAAAACATAACACTGTATTTTATTTCACAGTTCAGTGAAAGACCTGAGACTGCAGAATGGTGGTGCTGACAGAGCGTAAACTGCTACTTAGCACAGAAGGTAAGTGTGGACAGGGACACAATGCATGCAGGAACTTTGAGATACCAGATCTATCCCAGATATTAAGGTAACTGCATTTTATACTGTTAACTCGCGTCAATTGTTTTTATTGCAAATGACAGCTCTGATTAGTGTTAGACCTCGGTACAAGTACCAATTATTTTGTCATTGACACATATACCTACTATGCCCTGGTTAGGTGCAGCCTCACTACAGGCTGTTTAATAGCCTTGAAAAGACAGACTAGCTAAAATGCATTTCTGATTACTGATTATCAGGGAGCTACTTCTAAACCAAGTTCTAGCGGTGCAGATGAGCTTGCTCCCTGGCACCCACTGAAGTTGTTCTTTGATAGGTAAGGAAAAGTCAGCGGTCACAAGTCATTAGCAAGAACGTATCTTGCAGCACACAACACAATTCCTGCCTACTACCTCGTGGCTCTAGCACTTTCCTGCTTGGGCACTGTAAAATGAACCGAAACAATTAAGTGAGCTGGTATTTGTCTTACTCTTTAAAAGATTTAGCAGTGAAATTTAAGAAACAGACTGTTACCAAGAGGATCTACAGGAAGTATGACATTGCTCAACTGACAGTACAAGTGTACAAAAGCATCTTAGATGGATGATGAATTATTACCATAGAAGTATCGTGACACTGTAATCAACCAATTTTAAGAAGTTTTTCATTGCTGGCACACCAGGCATTTCCTCTTCCTTACAAGAAAAGCCAGTATGCTGATTAATAGCCTAATTACAGGTTATATACTTCACTCTGGCCATTACCTTTAATCAGAAATAAAGGATCAGCGCTTTAATTTATTTCTAATATATTTCGAAAGCCTCAGATCTTAAGTTGGAACTCAAGGTCTTGTGGGCTGATGTTCAAACAAACAAACAAAACCCAAAATAATCACATTTTCTCTGTGCTAGGATTGCAATGTATCTGCTCCATAAGTGATGACGTTTAGAAAGGAGTACAAAGTTACACACAGCAATGAGTATTGAAGACACGAGAGTCAAGATTCACAGCTGGTATGAAAGCAGGTAATAAAAAGAAGCCCCTGCTAGACAAGATTTCCTTCCATATGCACCTGTACAATCAATATTTATACAGCTAAATATTTACATGTCACTTGATTATGACGGTTTCAAAAGTTGGAAAGATATCAACAAACAAGTGATGCTTGCAGAGGACCAGGATTTCTTGCAACCTCATTCTTGTCATGTATACACATGAAATAGTGAATACTTTAAAAAACAAACACCACAGTTGCACTTCTACCAATAACTGGAAATATGTTGACAAAAATATTGTACATTGCAAAGCTAAAGCATAGTTGCATAGAGCTATTTGGTGGTTATACAATGGAAGAAAATTTCAGAAATTCCAGAACTACAGTTATTTTTGATGGAGTCAACGACTAAAGCAGTCACAATAGATAAAGGACATAATGTAACATCCAAATACATGTCAAAATTTTAGTTAGTAAGACTCTACTTCAACAGTATGTGCAGGAACAACATATCTCTAAATTACTGCTTAAACCACAGCTCAATTATTGCACTAGGGTTTCCATCACGTTCCTAAATACACTCTCCTGCAATTCAAGTCTGCCCTATCTACCTGATAAATGATCCAGTACCATAAACCCCACAAGAAGGAACAAAAAAAAAGCATGAATTTTAGTTAATTTTTGATTTCTCTTTCAGCTGAACATCAGAAGCTTCTTAAAAGGAAACACTGGGTAAGACAACTCTTTTTAAAGAAACTCACCTCTGCAAACTGAAATAATGATGACTTCTGACAGGCCTCTGTAGAATTAGTTGCATCAGATTGGCAAGCATTCGAGGAAATCTGAAATAAGGAATGTGCAGAGTAAGATTGAAAGAAGCACCTTTGAGGTCTAAGAACAACAGCGAGCAAAATGAAACACCAGGCAACAATAACAAGAGGCAGTGTTCAACAGAAGACAGGCAATCTAATGTTTCACGCTCCTTGATAGGTTAAATCAAATTTATAGGTGAAAACACAGTTTAGCACCCATTGTAATGCATGTGAAAATCACCTAAGAAGAAAGGCCACCAAAAAAACAGGGATTTTTTTTTTTTCCTTTTATAATTCCAAACTTTTTTGCAAAAGAGTTTTATGCAACAGAATACTAAACTGATGATGTTGGGCTACATACACAACTACCTTGTATTGGTGATGCTGTCAACACTGCTGTATCTGTAATTTGTATTACCATTCTGAATAAGAAAACTACTTAGAAGCTAAAAAAGGGTTTTTTTGAAGACACTGAGAGTTGCTAAGTGACAGAAATACTATTAGAAAAATAATCCCAGATCACCTAATAGCACAAAAATAAATAGTTAAGGGTACCACAAGCCTAAAATTGCTCAAATAATGTATCTAAACATCCATTTAGGGGTGCTTATGGGAAGCAGTGCAAGAAAGAGTCCTAGCTTCTGAAATCAAAATACAAACAAATGACTGTTCAAAAACAACAGCCTTATTCAAATTAACAGAGAGCTTAGCCATACTATTATTAGCCAGAAATGTGTTAAACATTCTGTAAAGGAATTGTATCAAATATGATATATTAATTAAACCTCACATTTGGGTGTGAAAGACTTGCATGTGTAACTCCTAGAAACATGAGCTACTGTTAGTATAAAATAAGGTATGTGACATGGCTTACAGGAAACAGAAGAAAGGAAGGAGGCTTTGTGGGATTTTAGGAAGAAGAAACAGGATGGAAATTTTTTTCTCTAACAATTTTTAATTTTTCCATGAAATTTCAGTTTATTTAAAACATTTTGATGCACATGTATTTTTTCTCTTATTTATTACCAAAACAAGTATGTCAATAGTATTTATTAGTGAATGCACACATGAGATTTACCAAGCAACTGCATCTGTTGCCGGAAAGCACAAAGCACCGCAGAACAACCAGGCCTGCAGCACACGCAGCTTCTGCTGCTGCTCCTCCCGCTGTCTGTCCAAGATGCTTAAGCACTACAATAGCACCAGTGGCATTTTGTTTCAGGAATCCACTACCCATACTCCCCTGAAAACACTAAATCCAAGTGTAGCAACCCACAGGCCAGGGGGAACCACAGCACATGACAATTTGCTTATGTATACAGTCGAACTTCCTTCTTCCCTGCCATAAAACCACACATTAACAGTGTCTCCTATGATCTATGATTCCATTGTATTTCTTAAACTCCAAGCAGGATGTTTTATCAGTGTACTATGGGAGTATATCAACCCAAAGGGTTACAAAGACTGTATTTTTAAGGCCTGCCTTTTGCTTTTTCAATGGTTTGTGTCACTGTTTTCACTGATATAATGTTTATTACTGCTTTTCTCATGTCTCTGTATGATCTGTTTAAGATGTCCGTGTCTCAGCAGCGGTGTGAATTGTACCAGGGATGCATACCAACCTTGCTGCTGCTGAGTGACCCGTCTCTGAAGGTCCAAGTCTCTGCACTGGTGTGAAATACATAAGGATGCTCGCATGTCTGAGAGCTCATTCGGTTATTTCAGGCCACTCCACTGGTTGGATTCTTCCAGGAATAACCAAATTTGGGATTTGGTTCTTCATACAAACTTAAATTTTCTGTTGTTCGACCAGCTGCCTTATGTAGCCTAGTTTGTGGTGTCTATTGAAGCAGTTTGTTTGTAAGTGGAGCCTATTCAACGTGCTGTACAAAAGGGCACTACTTTGCTTAGGAGAAGCGACGATGAACAAGCAAGCTGCATGAAACCTCTCCGCTGCCCGAGACGGGCACTGCAGGGCCACGCATGCCTGAACTCTGCCCACACGCCGTAACGGAGACCGTGGCTCCGCAGCTTCCTCCGCCATGTGAATGTGCCAACACCTACCCGAGCTGGCACAGCACAAACCAGCTCCGAGTTAGGGGCCATTGATCCATGTCACCCCAGGAGCACTGTGCTGGAGGAGAGATGCCCTCCCGAGAGGGGCTATTATGGCTCAGCCCCTGCCACAACAGCGCCGAACGGCACTCGCTCCCCGGGTGGGCACAGAGAGGGAGGACGAGCCTCCCCGCTGCCCCTGAGCCCACGTGCTGGGCATCGGGCACAGCATGTTCCCCGTGGAAGGCGTGAAGCTCAGTGTCCTACAGCTTTGTGGGTAAAGGACAGACTGCTGGGGCCCAGTAACTCAGAGGTGATTTTGTGGTCAGAACAACTACACTTTTCCTATCAATTTCCATTATCTTTAAAAAGTTAATGCTGTAGCCTTTGCTTGACAGAAGCGCTAATTTGAGCTTGTTTCTTCTATTTTGCTGCTCCCCATATACTCCTGACTTGTGGGAAATTTATTATCTCCGGGACTTCCAACCTCTGCCAGGCTGAACCTGATCAAAGCGTTAAATAACTCCCAGAGGGAATGGATGCACAGACAGTGCCACACCGCGTACGTCTCATTTCCTGCCGTAATAAAACGTCCTCGACATCTCCTCCTCGTTTCTCCTCTTTCCTCCTCCCAGCTTACCCTCAGCCGCACCAGGAGACTTTTCACTTCTGATTTACACCCTGCGCAGACTCGGCATCGCGTGCAAGATAACCTTTCGTTCTCAAAGCAAAGGAAACCGCGCGGGTAACACATCTGTAGTCTCCCTTTCCGGGAGCTTTAACGCCGTCCTCATGCGCTGGGGAGCGGCGAGGGGGGAAACTAGAAGAGCTAGGTTTTGGACTAGACAACAAATTCTGGGATTTCTGGGCAGTAACCTGCAGACAGGCCACTAGGTGCTGCTGCAGGGCAAGCAAAGGGCCTGACAGAGGGCAAGTAAGGGAGATGGGCCGGGAGGCCAGCGGGCAAGCAAGGAGCGTTCCTTGCCCGGCTTCAGCTTTTCTGGTAATAAACCTGCTGTGAGGTCCAGGCGTTGGCCTAGCACAACGACAGGAGCCGGAGCAGATCCGTCCGGTGTTTCTGCTCGGGTGTTCAACAAAATACGCTCATACACACTTGTGTAACTGATGAGAGGACTCAAAAGCCGGGGGGAAACTCAGGGCATAGCCAAGCCCTGTGTTTACTGCTGGCAAGGCCTGCAGCTTCCCTCGCCTGTCCGCTCAGTAACTCCAGCTGCTGCACGGAAATCAACCGCGTACTGACACTGAATTCTGTTACGAGAAGAAAAACTCTCTAGTCTATAGAAAAAAATTACAAAAATAGGAACATAACCGGTGACATACAAAGATGGTAACTGAAGCCTCAAGGCAATTGTGTAAATACCGCTGTTGTGCCTCTTCCCATCCTCTCACTGGCGGGGCACTTTGTTACCTGCCGTGTGGGCTTCTGACAACTCAAAGGCTGAACACCTAACCTGAGAAGTCCCTGTACATCCATTTAGCATACACTCGACAAAAATCAGCGGGCGTTGAATACACTTACATGGGATTAGCAGACCTCTAAGTATAATTTTTCCCTCGTCTTCTCCCAAGTTCTATGCAAACTATGCCAGTGCTGCCCTCCTTTCTATTAACAATTTCTAAGATGATAATAGTATTTAAGGCCACCCAAGTCTGCATAAACATACACATGCACAAGCAGTCAAACTGCATCTTGACAGGTAATCTCATGTCTGGCGGTCCCCCAGTTTAAGAACCATATATATGCACGTGTATCTTACAGGTACAAACACATGCTTTAATGATAATGAAGACTACATGATATCATTTAGAGCATTCTTTTAAAAATGACACTGCACCTGTCTTTTTTTTTTCTCCAGGGTTTTAGATACAGGACATATACTTATATACTAACACATACATAAAAACAACACCTCTAATTTTTCACAGATAAGCAACTTCTGAACCTCTTCAATACCTTTGCAGCCACCTCAGTACACCAAATTCTCCCCCATGTCAATACCAACTCTAACACAACACAACTAACCTCCCTCCACTGAAGAGGAAAGCAGCTTACCAATTCTACAATGAATTCTTGAGCTTCTTACTTGAGCCTGCCATACCACCTCCTTGCATATTCTAACCTCCCAAATGCTGGTTTCAGTCTGAGATTGTTTTCAAGCATAAGCATGGAAATCCAACCATAGGTTGTTCCATGGGTATACAAAGAGGAACATCTTATGGCTCCTCTGTCCACATGCCCAAGGATGGGAACACAGAAGTGCTGTTCAGTTATACAAGTCCAAACAGGTTTAGGACCTTTACTGCATCTGGGGAAATTGTTCCGTATCTAATCACCACTAAAACACTGAATCAAAAGGAAATAAAGGAACATGGAAGACACACCAGGGCTGTCAAGCAAAGAAACAGAGGAAGCTTCCCAGTGTGCAGAAACACAGCTGGTTTTTTTTTCCTGCTGGCACGCAGTTAGGAGGAATGAACTTCATCCATTTGGGTCCCTTTGAGAATACCAAGCACCTAGATTGTTCTGGAGGATATATTTTTACATAGGGGCCCCTCTGAAAGAATTGGAGATGTGCAGTTTTGCTCCCTGGGAAAGTGCTCTGACACTTACCCACTTCTCAGATAGTGTAGGACAACTAAAATACGGTAACTTAGTAGTAAGCAGGGGCTAATTTCTGGCCCATCGTTATTCTAACAACAGCCAACAAATCCCTCAACCAGTTTTGTTCAGGCTGTATTTATGACAATTATTTTGCTCTACATTTTGGGGGAAAGCAGATTACACAGCTTGCCCCTTTGATGTGGAGGGCCAGGTTTCAAAAGGAGCCTACAGGCCCAAAAGAGCACAGCATAGTATAGCTTGTACATAAATATTAGATCACAAGCCATACTGCATGCTTCTATCAGAAAAAACGGGGTTTATGTAGGAGCACGGGAAACGTGTCTTTTGCTCATAAAAAGAAAGTCCCAATTCAAAAAACCATTCATATACTAAAACAATCACACATCATCCTTTTTGATTTGTCTCTAAATCCACATGCAGATTTTATTCCTTCACTGCCACGTGAAATCGTACTACTTGAGGCACTTTTCATGTAAAACCAACAACGCTCAACTCATAAGGTCATAGCAAAGACCCTTCTGTGACCACAATACGCCTTCCCTCTCATTTAAACAGAACAACATAGTAAAAACTATTTTTAAAGTCCAAGATGAGAGATTCAAAGTTTGAAAACACTTTAGCACAAAATAATTAATTTCTTTTCACTTCTCTGCCAGCTTTACCCTAGTGTTCCTTATTTTTCATGCTGCAACAAAGAAAGGCAGTACGCACACGTGCACAAAGACTTCCACTGCTCAAATTGGTGTGCAAACCATTGAGGAGTCTGGGCAGTACAGGAAGAATTAATCTTAAATGCACGACACCTTTTCCTCCCAATAACAACAAAAAAAGAAAACCTCCTCACTTCCACTGCTCTTCTTTCCAGGCTAGAGATTTATGGCAGTGACTACCCATTTTACCCAACATACAAGCCACCTTTTGAAAGATTTTCAAAGCTGGCCCAAAAAATAGGTCATAAATAATAATCAGTCTAAAGAAAGATCAGAGGTCTCTGCACTACTGGAGGTATGCAGGAACACTTCTATTTACTAGACTCCCTTTGTAAAAACAAAATGTTTGTGATGGCAACTGAACTACAAACTTCTTTTTAGACATAAAGACTTAGTGAATAGGAGTAGACTGCAATACTTCACCTGTTAGCACTTGCGTGGTTTCAGAATGCATATACGACACTGACTGTATGGAAATTTTTCGGTATTTATTTTGCTATTAGTGCCAAGGCCACAGTTGTGCGAGGCATTGCATAAGCATATGAAATCCTTGCGCAAAAGAGCTTGCAAACCACCTGTTAACACAGTTGCTGTATTTCAATCCTTCTACCTGTGACAATATCCTCTCATGGGGCAGACCAAATATTCAGTCAGCAAAGTTAGTATTGAACTGATATAAAAACTGGGCCCAACCTCTACATTCACAGTTGGGATATAAGACTCGTATCACAGGGCTCATACTTCAGTCCCACCTGAGGTTACCCAAGATGTATCTTAAATATTATTTCCCACTGGTCAAATATTCCTTTTCAGAGCTCTCTTTAAACTGAGGGCTCGTGGTAAGGCAGAGAAGAGAGTTCCTTACCTCTTGTGCAGTCAGGGCATGTTCTCCTGCTAGAAGCAACATACTTAGGCCTCCCATTTGTGTAGGATCTGTTAAAAGAGTAAAACCAAGTCTGAAGTTTATTCATTTGCTTGTTTAAAGAACCTACCATTTGCAGTGTTAAACCCCCAGAAGACTACTTGTCACAGACACTCTAAGCAAGCTGCCATAAAAGGCAGTTCAAGAGAATCACAAATAACCATTTCTGTACCCTCTGGGAGAGGCTTTCAAAGCTGTTTGAAGGATTTAATTGGATTTGTGTGCTTAACACCCCATTGCGTGGATTTACAATTTTACTGCCAAAGGTTTTATGTACTACAGAGATGGATATCTTTAAAACAGCAACTGTAATGATCTCATACATAAACACACACAAAGATGCTCTAATATCTCACACGTTTGTAACTCAAGGATGCTCCTACCGAGGGAGTGGTCCCCTTCCTTAGCCACTGAACAAGGACGGAACAAAATGACATGATCAAGTTCTGAAGTAAAATTTCTATTTTCATTTAGTTTTAATTCAGAGCTGCATTTAGTGGTGAAAAGTGCCAGCCTGACAGCTCTGAAGCATGAAGTGCTTGATCCTCTGTGCCAGATCTGTGCAGGCACTGGCCAGGCAAACTGCCTGGCAATACAATATATAATTGAGGCAAGTAAAATGGAGATATAAATGTTCTTTTTCCAAGTATTTGATGCTGACAGCTTCTCGCCTCCAGCCTTCCCACACCTCAGGAGCTCGGAAAATGACAACAAGAAGTGAAAACAATGAACACTGGCACTGCATTACTCATGGAGTGGCTTTTCCACTCAGAACACTGGTTGCTCTTCATTATTATGAAGACTAATTGTCTGATTTTGGGGGACTGCAGGGGCCCAATTTAACAGAGCGCCATGTAGAGAGAGTGAGACAGTCTGTGGCCCAAACATCTCGCACAGCAGCTACCACGTGAGAGTAAGGGAAGCATTATCCTTGCTGTATTGCTGAGACACCAGCTTCAGTAATGGGGAGACACGACAGTAACCTTCCCCAGGTTTCACTAAGTGTGCACTCACATTTTCCAATTTCCTTTCACCAAATGATACAAAAACTCTGTCTACAGCAATAAATTACATGTGCCCAGGACCACTCCCTGGAATGGCGGCCAACTGGCACAATTACTCTTGTCCATTCGGTTGCATTTTGTTATGCAAAATTTAGATGCAGAATAGCTGCAACCAAAATGTCCACTGGGAAATCCCCTGGCCCATTCCCACTCATGACTGGTGGCAAGGAATTTGTTGAGCTTTTCAGCTGACATGGGCCAAACCTGTACCCGTAAACCTCCAAACGATTTAGTGCTACAGATGATCCAGGTCCAGTTCACAGGAATACTCACTGGTGCGGTTTAGTTCAATACCACAGATGTTATCAAAAGTTCTCCCTCAGACAGCATCTTGCACTGATACTCACAGGGTAAAGTTTTTTCAGTACTCTCTTAAAAGAGCAGCAAACAGGAGCAGGGGAAAGAAATATGAATAAATCAGGCTCATCTACTATCTCAAGGATAGAAGAGTGGCTCGTTATCTTAAGAACACAGCCTGAAGAGCATCTGGCTTCAAACCCAATGTTCAACTGGAATTAATTTTTTCCTTTACCATCATAAATAGGCAGAAGGTGTGGGGTTTTTTTTGTCGTTTTGAGTTGTTCTTTTGGTTTTGCTTTTTTTTTTTTTTTTCTTTTTTTTTTTTTTTTAAACTTTTGACTTTTAAATAAAGAAGGGAACAAACGATATTAAGTTTCTACAAAGAGACAAGGCACTATGAGCAGTATAGAATCTAGTAACAAGAAGTGGTTGAAGAAACGGGAGACAAAATGGGAAGGGCCAGCAAGTACCTAAGCACAATTCATAAGCAAAGTGATCCTGTCAGCACAGCACTTTCTGCCATCAAAATCCTTGATCAGAAACTGTTCAGTCCTTCAAACAAGAGGACACCAGAGCAATAAAGAAGTGACAAGTGAACATGCATCTTAAAAGATAATGCCTGAGCAGGCAGTTCATTTGGAGGAAGGAGAGACAGGAAGAGATGTCCAGGCCCATCATAAAACTTACTGAGCTCCATATTAAACACTAAGGGCTTGGCTGGTTGCTTTCTACTTTCTTTATTTCCGTTGGAAGGCTGTTGCAGAATCCAAATCTTCTAAGCATTAAGAGCTTTCTTCCAGTTTTCAGCTTAAATTTACTCAGAGTCAGGTGGCACACATTTTTTCCGGTGCTTGCATCTTTAAGATTAAGTAACTGTTCTCCCTAAACGGTATTTCCTTCTGTGTTTACAGGAGTCACCCTACTCTTCTTCCACTTGCTTTCCTAGCCTAAGCAAATCAAGATCTCCTGATGTCATCAAGCATGTCCATCTCCCACAGTCCCAGCGATCCCTGTAGCTCTCCCCTCCAGTTATTCCAGGTGGAATTCAGCTTTTTGTACACGAATGATGAGCAGGGCAACCACGTCAGATGAGCTGTGCTTTGTTCAATGGTATTAATTCTTCTCTACAGTTCCTGAAAACACTTTGCCTAACACTCTGCAGTACAGCACTTTCTTATGCCCACATCACACTGATGGCTCCCAAGGCTCTCTTGTGCTTCACTTTAGTTACCTGTGGGTCTTCTTCCTCCTTCTCAGTTTTGGCCAACTGGAGAACACCCAGCTTATGGCTCTAAAATTCTTCCCCCTCTTCTAAATATCTTCTTGGTGGTCTCAGCTTAAATTGTTTATTTAGAGACAAAAATTCAGAGGAAGGAAAAAAATGACAGCTAAGTGTAAAGTGGAAGTTTAATTTGGTGCTTAAACAACTTGAATACTTATGCTGCAGCTGTAGCAGAGGGCTGCTGGTTAGATGTCTGATCATGATAAAAACAAAAATCCTTCCACTAAGGTTTCAAATTAACAAAATAACTTCATCTAAGGGAAGACAACATGTACATATGCAAACACTGCCATATGTTTATAGTGCCTTCTCAGCACAACAATGTTTCTCTTATGGCACTAAGAACTTACTGCTATTAAGAATTTTAAATGCAATTTTGAAGCAATTTACAGTTCAATAAACAGTAGTGAGAAAATACCACACATATTTTACTTGCAGAATGGGAGGCGATCCATGACTTTCTAAAGAGCCTTCAATATTGATGAAACTTAAAACTATCTCACTATTTGGGAACAACATACTTTGTTAGTATTGGTCTGGCAGGCTGGCTTGTTCATCATTACAATTTTTCAGTCAGAGGAAAGAAAGAACCAAGGAAGAACTAAGCAGAAAGAAACCAAAACAAAACAGGATATTGCATCTTTAAGATTAAGTGTTCTCTCTAAATGGTATTTCCTCTTCTGCATTTACCGGAGTCACTCTACTCTTCTTCCACTTGCTTTCCTAGCCTGAGCAAATCAAGATCTCCTGATGTCATCAAGCATGTCCATCTCCCACAGCCCCAGCGATCTCTGTAGCTCTCCTCTCCAGTTAGGATATTGCCAGCAGATACTGGATCTACAGATCCAATATTGGAGATACCTCAATATTGGAGATACTGCTGGTGCTTAGATGTCTAATATTCTACAGATCTCTCCAGTAGGATATTGCCTCCTTTAGGAAGCGTCTTTTTTCCACCCTTTGCTTCACTAGAAAGCTTTTTGGCTCAGATGTGTTTTTTTCTGATGTAGAAACATGAAAAGTAGTGGGAACATTGCATATTTGTATAGCAAAGCTGTTGCCCATTTAGCCCTGTAGTTGTGAGGGTAGATACCGCAATGGTCACGTTCACCTGTGAACAGCAGTTGTCTTTGCCCTACAGCCTACAACAGATCACAGGTGAGCCACGTCATGAGAAAAACATGCTCAATGACAAATTCCCAGCTGGATGAGCAAGGACACCCCACTAGTGGGTCTGCAGGTCAGAATCCCAATGCTGGTGCCACACCTCAGGTTCTTGACACAATGATAGGTCAACACACAAGTGGGGTGGTTATTGTTGGAATGCCAAAAATAAAGGAGAGATATGGCCTGCGTGGGACTTGAAAACAGAAAGGAAGATCTTACTCTGTCCGTATTACATTTTCCAAAATGAAATGTAATATGTAAAAAGCAATTAAGATAGGATCAACAACTGCCAACAAATAAAACAGATTTCCCGGAATGATTCTGGAATCACGTAATCCCTGTCCTAAGGAAGCTATCTGCCTTGAAGATGCAAGACAGTCAGTGACATTTCAAAAGGTAAAAGTGTTCCTGAGGTGGTTCAGCTGCATTTTAGTTCATCAGCTAGTATACAGCCTGGATTTTAAAAGAGGTTGTGCTAGATAGAAGAGTCAGTTGAAATGAACTATCACCTGAAGTCAAGGAGAGAAGAACACAACAAAACATACTTAGCACAAACCAGCATACAGCTGACAAAGCAGTAATCCATTTGGCATGGCAGACTTGTTGTGATTTGGATGCTCCTAACATCTCTGTCACAAGCTGTCGTTATTTTAGGAGCTATTGTTACACTCAAGAAATAGCCAGCCCTCACTGGCATGAGGACTTGGAGAGATCCCTATGAATTACTATGCTCATTGACTCAGTCTGCAGTAAAAAATAAAATAAATAAATGGTAATTAAAAAAAAATCAAATCACATCTAGCACAAAGGGGCTTTCTTCAGAAATGAATGGCTCTATAGATAAAACAATGGATTAGATTAGTTTCTAATTAATTCTTAAGTTCCCTGCCCTCTCCTCTGACAGGTGTTGATTCAAGATCTCCCTGTGCTCAGAAACTCTACATTTGGATAGCCAAGCAGGAGCGGTGGGGGATGGCAGACAGGGAGACCAAGACCTATTACATGTTCTTTGTGTTAACTCAATAAACCTTTAAAGAGCACAGCCGTTACTCCTCTGATGATGAAAGCAGAATGGGATGAAGGGGCTTGCGATTTTCAGAGCTGGTCTCCCATATATCGTAACTACGTAGCACGAAAAACTTTATTTTGAACACATTTCACAGTTCCTTCATAGCCAGAAGGAATTTCATCACAGGAATTTTCACACCACTATACTAGCAAAAAGGTATACAAGCCTTTTTATCCCTTTACACTTGTTCCATAAAACCATTTTCCACTCTCCAGCTCATGATCTCTCTAAGCAGAAAAGTCCTCCCTGCCACACACATTATAAACTAGGTAAGACATGACAAAGATTCAAATATATCAGTATTTATAAAATCAGAAACTTTAAACCACAAAAAAGAAAGAAGGATGGTGGAGGAAAAATTATTTCCTACCTTGACTGTTAGGTTCTTAAGCTGCCAGTATTTAACATTAACGTCTCTGTATTTCAAGGTCATGACTGCAACAGTTCTGCTATTTGTGGGTATCAGTGAGAGATTATCTGCCTTTCACCAGTTCAGGCACACCACAGACACTTATTCACAGATTGGACTTTTTTCTTTTTTTTTTTTTTTTTAATGTTTAGAAGGTTAGAATCCACCCCTCTAAGGTATAATGGGCAAAAGAGCATCTTAAATGAAATTGAATTACACTTCTCTTGATTTAGATACAAGAAGTTATCTCCATCAGTGCATTCATTGACAAGAACGTTAACACCTCCAACTTCACAGACACCTATAAATTATTTTTGTAAACAGCAAATTACTAAACACAGTACAATGCTCTATAAAAAAGAATGTACACAATTAACATTTTCCTTTTCAACTAGAAAAGAAAAAAAATCTCTAACAGCAGATAAGCTGGAATTAAAAACCAATCAAAACTGGACCCTAAACAGGGTATGGCTTATGATGCCACATGTCTAGACTTGGCTCTTGAAAGCAATCATGCACTATGGAAAATTTTATAAAGTTATTATGCAGAGGTTTAACTAGAGTCTTGGCAACTTAATTTGGGACTTGAAAAGTATTTGCACTACAGTACCATGTGCAGTAAAGAAAAACTGGTATCGCAGTTCAATTTCAACGCCTCATCCTCAAACAAAACGAGGATGCCACATTTCAGTAACACGGATGGAAATCTCACCTGCCATCCCGAAGTTAAGCTGTGGCATTTCTTCGGTTTTTGTTGCTTTCCTGGGGCTTGGTAGGTCTTTTCCAGAGTCTGATGCAAAGGTCCATAACTTTTTCCTGTTTGTGATGGTGGATGACTGCGTTTTCACAGGCTTGTTGGTTGTGGGGCACCACTTGTACCCCGGATTTGCCTTCATAAATGCATCTTTGTACTAGAAAAGAAAAGGAAAATTACCAGTCATGACATTATACTATCCACAGGGCAACAGAGTGCACTGAGTGTAAGAGGATTTAATACAGTAAATAATCCTTAAATATCTTGATTTTTTAACAGTTTAATCACATGCTTAGAGTCTGACTGCCAACACAATTTAATGAGAAGAAATATTAAGATAAGTAGAACTGTATTTAAAAAAGTGAGTTTTCTCTTTCCTCTCCTGAGGGTTTATCACTCAGATCAGGTTGAAGTTCTGATCCTGCAAACTGCTCCCCAGTGCTTGAACATGCTCACTCTCTGAGAAACAAAGACAGCTATTTGAATTCTTTTGCGGGTACAATCTTTGTTTACTTTCTAGTTTGAATGAAATGAAAACTTACGTTTAGCAATAAAAGCAGCATGATGCTCCTTACCTTGCACTCATTTTTCTCTAATAGTTCTGTATTTTAGAATACTTGAGTATATGCTTTCCCAAACCAGTCGTTGAAAATAAAGCACTACCAGTTATCATCTCATTTTCAGTAACTTCTGATACATCATTCCAGCATTCCTTCCAAAATGTACCATGTTGCATGGCTGCATAAACCAAACGCGGACTATTTAAAACTTTCTTTGGCCTTGAGCACACAGCACATATCTCAGTTGTTTGCTATATTCTTGGTATGAGGCAGCAAAACGAATGAAGCCAGACTACACATGGGGGGTGGGGGGAAAAGGTCTGGATCTGTCACAGCTGGAGGGGTAGGGGGAATGATGGGGACCTATTTTATTCACAAAATGCAACAGTGATGTTTTCCAAGTATCTTGCTGACCAGACCAAAACAAGATTTTTTAATGTTAACAGCAATAAAAAGAGCGTATTTCAGTATTTTAAATGTCTTGCTACGCAAGGTGGAGAATGGGTGAACCAGAGGAACGTGCCACGCATTCCAGCTGCAAATGTTTGCCTAACAACTGATAGGTTGGTCCCAGTAAGTACCAGTGCTCACTGCAGGGAGAAGGAACCCACTACCTCCTCGTGCACTCAGTAGCTCTCGATGGCAGCAAACAACTCAAAGAGCG